GTTCTACAGCACACGGGTCTTTCGAAAGCACACGCTCACGTTTTTAAACTAGCGTTTAAAGCTGAAAATATTTTATTATTCAAAAAGGCAATGATTTAAATAATTAAGGGGTGCTGTGCCTGCATGCAACCCCAGCAAAAGGAAAGTTCTCCCACTGTGATATTTTAATGGAAATCAATGCAACCTAAAAAGTATTAATAGATTGTTGTTTTAGAACAGGAAGCTATTCTCCAAACAGCCTTGACATTCCAACCTGCGAGGCTCACTGCGCCGGTCCTCTGGAGCTCTGTTCTCCGCAGACACCCGCCACCCACCTCCAATTCACGTAATGGCAGACAGCCCCGCCTGTCTGTCAGGAGACGCCTGAAAGCGTCTTTTTATTAGGAACACAAATCGATGTGCCCGAGGGATCGCAATAACCGCTTGCAGCAATTGATGTTATCATTTCATCCTGACGCTCCCACTCCGAGCCGCTTATTATTATGAATGGCGTGGGAATGGCAGCCTGTCACGATGGATTCGTCTTAACCTTCTGCAAGAGTTTTTTTCCTCTTAAATGTAATCAAGTGTCATCTTATTAAATACAGCTCAAGCTCAGTTTTATAGAGCAGTCCATTACTCAGGTTGCACTCCTTATAATTTAAACTTTCACCAAATATTACTGTAAAAGTAATGTCTTACTAACAAAAACTTTTCATTTGTTCAAAGCTCTAAACTAAGGTCTCCACACTTGTGCGGACCCACTCCCTGCTGTAAGTCCGCCCCAGGGCACGGGAGGGGGGAGGGCCCACCTGGAGAAGGGCCCTGAGCACCCCCCCCCAGAACGCCCCCTCCCACAATGGCACTGCAGGGCGTTCCCACCCCCCTCCCATCCCCCGTGTCTGGAGGAAGCACACCCTCTTACAGGAACATTCTAACAAACTTCTGCAGTATGAACGGAGGTGTATGTCCTAATGATCTAAAATTAGCAGGCTGGGTTTCAAGGTCCAATTTCAAAGACCAATCTAAAGGGATGAATTCTGACCCTCTGTGCACCTCAGGCTGTTGTGACCTGAGGTGACAGTGGCTCTGTCTAGTGCACCAGGACCCCCAGCCTCCAACTCAGGTGCTGGGGGGTGGGCTGTGCAGGCAGATGTGACACTGATGTCACCAGCCCAGGGCCACCCACCTGGGGCTTAAGAAGAGGCTGTGCTGCTAGAGTCACAGAGCAGGACAGAGAGCTATGGCAGCAGGTAAAGGAAAACGCACCCTTGGAATAGAGTGGGACAACAACTGTTCAACCCACGTTTCAGGCATATGAATAGCCATACTTTTATGTTTGACGTTTTCTTTTAAAAGGCAGGTAGAGAGCCCTTGCTGGTGTGGCTCAGTGGATTGAATGCCAGCCTGTGAGCCAAAGGGTCGCTGGTTCGATTCCCAGTCAGGGCACAGGCCTGGGTTGCAGGCCAGGTGCACAGTAGGGGGTGTTCAAGAGGAAACCACATACTGATGGTTCTCTCCCTCTTTCCCTCTCCCTTCCCCTATCTCTAAAAACATATAATCTTTAAAAAAAAAAAAAAGGCAGGTAGAAGAGAACAAAACATTAAAAAAAGAAAGAATTGAAAAAAAGAAGGCTTGGGACACCAGCCGAGGAGAGGGCCAAGTTTAACAACACGTGGTTTCTGAAGCCACCTAAACACTGAAGTCGTCACACCTGCCTGCTCAGCCTGGGAGGTCGGTTTATGAAGCCTGGTGCTGGTCCAGAGAGCTCTGCACCAGCCGGTGGGGAGGTCATGCAAGGCTGGGGTGTCCCAGACGGACAGGAGCCCTGGGAACAGCCTTCGCCAAAGACACAGGCCTGCGCCGAGCGGTTGGCAGGCAGGGGTGAGGGTGCTGGGTGTGCCGTGGTGCACAGGGTGCCTCCCAGCCTGAGGACCCTCTGCGGTCGCCAGCCCCCCGCCCCGCACCTGCACTCCGGGGACGCCCTGAGCCTCTAGACCAGCCACCTCTTTGCTTCTGCTTTGGGGCTCTGGATACTCGGCCCCAGGAACCCCACAGGCACTGCCGGCTCCATCACAGACCGAAGACCTCAGCCCCACTGGCCCATGCGGTGGCTTGGACACTGTCCTCGGTGCTCCTCCCGCCTCAGTAGCACCGTAAACCCTTACCGGGGCCAGGGTTGCAGCACGTGGATGACCTCAAATCCTGCTAACCCCCCCTGTCAGCACCACCTCTGCTGCAGGGTCACTAGTCCTCGGAACTTAAAGCAATTTCCCAAATCCACATGTGCCTCTTAAGCACATTAACAGTGAAGGTACAAGTAAACCAAACAGGGTGCAGGGTGAGGAAGAGGGAGAGACGGAGGACTGTGAGCACCCGAGTCGGAGAAGCCTGTGTCACTGGCAGCTGCTCTGCACGTCCCCTGAAGTAAGTCATCTCATGTTTACACATTTCAGCTGTTCCTGGACGCCCTCAGAACTTAGTCTTCTGCAGAATATTTCCTTTTCTCTGAGCAAAGCATTAACGGTTTCGTAATACTGATTTTTCTCGCCAGAAACAGAATCGCTAGCACCCTCTCACCGAGGGCGCAGCCCATCACCACGGCCGCTGCCCTGTCCATGCACACCCCAGGCCCAGTCTGTCTCCCCCCGAATGCTGGGCCGTCCCACTGGCCTGCCAGGTCTGAGGAGCACCCAACGCACCTCCCCCGGGGACCGCATATCCATGTCTCCTGAGCAGCGCAGGGCATGCACCACCCCCTGGTCCGCGTCTCCGCCTCACTGCCCCTGCAGTCGGGCTGACAGCGACCTGTCCTGTCCAGGAGCTGTGAGGCCCCTAGTTTTCCCCAGGGACGCCCACCAGGACCACACCCCCCACAGGAGGGACCGGGCCGTGCTGCACCCTTCAACTCACATGAGGCCTGGAGACTGCTTGGGCAAGGAAGGGGGCCCGCCGGGCCCTGGCCAAGGCCCTGAGGCCAACATGGGCTCTGCGGTGTCATTCCCTCGGACCCCGAGGTCACTGAAGCCAGTGTTCAGGGACTGGAGGGGCCAGGCTGGGCGGAGACCTGCCATCGTGTCGGGCGTGTGCCGTGAGAAGACACCTGTGCAAGCCGCTGTGGTTTGGGGGCAACTGGGGTCATGGCCAGAGGGAGACCTGCCTCCTTCATAGACATGCACGCCCCATCCATAGGACTCTGCAGTCAGTAGACTCGGCACACAACATGTCACCAGGCCACCACGTCCATGCGGCCCCACCTGCACTGGTGCACATGATGGCTCTCTGGGTTGAGCGTTAGGGACAGTTTTGCTTCTCTGAAAAAACCCAGTGAAACCTCAGTCAGTGATCCGGCTTCCCTACTGCGCGTTTACTTGGTTCTCCCACCAGCCTCCTCTGCAGTCCCAACAGGGGCGGGTTTACTTTGCTGTGTCAGCGCAGAGAGGCCAGTCTGTACACGACGGAGGCCTGCAATGGTGAGTCAAGAGCTGTCTTCCCTTCTCTACTCAGGGACTCACGTGTCATGCAGCCTCCTTATTCAGCACCTGTCAACCCTTCCCAGAGATACGTCACCTTGGCTGCTTCCTGCCCATTGTAGCCTGCAACCCCTTCCAGAAATTTTTAATAAATCTGAAACGAAACACTTAGATTTAACAGCATATGCAAATTCTGAGATTTTATTTCTCTCCTAAGACTCTCCCTTATTTTACACAACATGTGCATGGGAAGTGAGAGCTCTGCTGAGTGGGTACCTTCAAAAAGAAGCACGCCAGGCGCTGACAAGCCCCGCCTCCAGCACCATGGCCCCACCTCCAGCACCGGAGCAGTGCTCCGCAACCCAAGCACAGCGCTTCTGCCCCTGACCTAACTAACACACAGTGCTCAGCACTGCGCCTGCCACATGTGTATGTGGTATGCGCACATGCGTGTGAGCACAGGGGCGTGCATGTGCATGCGTGGTACAAGCAATCTGCCTTGGCCTTAGCTGTCCCTGCTCCCACGACTCCCGTCAGGACGGGGCACCAGGGGCTGCGTGAGCACCCGGAAGGCACAGGCACCTGGAGGGGCAGGTTTGCAGGTGGGAGGCGGCCAGGTGGCAAAGGGAGCACTTCAACCCAGGTGTGCGACCTTCAGAGGGGCCTTCCTGTTATGAGGTGCATCCTGCCAGCCCCAAGGAAACCTAGAACCCATTTCAAAAACTAGCAGTCGGAAGAGGAAGGGAGGGTGGAGGAGTGCGGCGGCACCGCCCAGAACCTGGTGCAATGGCTAACTCAGCGAGCACTTTCTGACCCACAGGCAGGGCTGCCCTCCCGTTCCAGTTTGTAGTGGGACGGCAGTGGCAGGCGGCCTTTCCTGTGCAGTGAGACACAGAATTTGGCCGCAGGCCCAGGGTGGGGGAGCTGGTGGGTGGCAGTGCCAGGCTACACCTGGCAGTCCAGCTGCAGGGCCAGAGTCCTTACCTGCAGCCACCAGCTGGAGAAAGTTCACCTGAACAACATACACCTTGATGGGTAAATAACAACTTTAGGATGAAAACAGGAACATAATCAACTTAGAAACATAACCAAGCAGTCTTTAAAACTAAAATCTGGTTTCTAATATACTTCTTCTAAAATGAAAATACCTTACACAAAACTAGGTAACAAGGTAACACTATCAAACTAAACACTCTATAAACATTCATATAGATTCCTTTCTTTTAAAATGAATCATCAGTATAAAATAAAGTGCAAATTGTTAAATAGATTGAAGAGAAATCAACAGACCTACAATTAACTGTCAAATTATGGGCAAATTACATATCCCACCATGGAAATTTAAGAGACCCGTGAAATTCTGAGTCACCCAGAAAAGACCCTCTCGGAAGGGCCTCCGTGCGAGCGCGTGGGGTTGCCGTAGCTCTGGCGGCCGTGGGGGGTTCCGCGTGGAGCTGAGGCGGCGGGGGGGCTGCGTGGTGCGGCGCGGACTTCCTCAGCGAGAGGAAGGGCAAGGTCAGGGAAGCAGTCACCCCTCGTCTAGCCTACCTTATTTTTTGGATTGGATGTGTTCATTACACTCCGAGTCTCTCTCCCGGTATAAATGACAACTCCTATCACAGTACCTGCAAAAACACAAAAGCGGTGCTTACAAAGGCACTTTACGGGCAAGCACAGAGATAATACTTTCTGATTAATACTCACACCATTTAATTTCATATAAATTTACCCAACAGCATATTTAACCTAATAAAAACCTCATCTCAACTTTTAAAGTAAATGTGGAGAAACTCTGGCGGCTCCAGCAGCAGCACAGGTCCACCGCACACACCGCCAGACACCGTCAGGTGTCCTCCGAGGACCGAAAGGGGGCTCGTCCGCTGGTTGACATCTGCTTAGATGATGATTCTGACGCTGAAGTTAAGGGACGAGAGGCCCCCTTCTGCGCTGGTCACGGTCACTGTGCGGCCCTCAGACCACAGCGCCGGCAGCTGAGCCCGGCTCTCTGAACGAGAGTCCACAGCACGTGTTCACTGCAAGGGCTGAAGCCTAGGCCTACGGGCCTCTGCTGAGGAGTTGGCAGGCAGACTGTCTGATTTAGAATTGAGATATTATTAGTCTCTCCTAGTCATGTCTCCTGAAAGTCTGGTCTTCTCACTGAACACACTGAAAAAAACAATAGTCCTGTGGCTGTCAAACTTGAGACAAAAAAGTCATGAGACACCCCAGGAATAACCTGCAAACTACACGGGTGCAGAGGCCACACCTCTGCAGGGCTGAGGGGACGTGGGGACCTCTGCTCCCGAGCTGCAGCTGGCACTGTTTATAGCCCCCCCCACCCCCGCACATCCTGAGGGTAAGAGTCACGGGGCAGGTGAGGAAGATCGCTCTCAGCCAGTGCAGAACGAGCCTCGACAATCACACTCACCGTCACATTAACTCAGGGAGGTCCTTAGGGAGCCATCCACCAGGACCGCCAAGGAAGTGTGGCAGCAGGTCCTGGGCGCACAGCACCCGGACACAGTGACGGCTCCGCCTCCCGCCGTCCCGGGTGGGCAGCTCCCCCGGAGCTTGCGGGGTCCTGCCCAGCAGTGCCATTTGCAAGGGCCACACATTCCTCTCTGTTTCAGGGTACGCAGTGCCCCCCCTCTGCAGAACGTGCGTCCCCGAGGAGGCTGCGGGGCCCGACTCTCCCGGGCTCCAGTGTGCCCCAGCCCTGTGGGTGTGCTCTCCGACACCACCGCCCGGTGAGCGCCCAGGCCGTCCGGCTGCACTCGGCAGGCAGGAGGACATTAAATACGCGGTGGTTCACCAGTTTAAACACTTCCTTAACCTGCCAACCAAGTTTAACGTCATCAGAATGTGAAAGTATCACTAACATAAAATAAGCATAAAAACAGAACAAGGCAAATTGCAAAACTTTTTCAACATTAGCAGAACAAGTCTTAGAGAAGCTTGGGAATTAATCAAGCTGGACAGCACCACCTGGAAGCAGGCAGCTGAGGAGCAGCGCTGAGCCCAGGCTGCCCCGACACTGCCCAGTGTCCCACGTGAGGTCCGAGGGGCCGACAGAACGACCAGGACACACGTCACACAGACGGACACAGACCGGGTCAGCGCGGCACGTTCACCAGAGCACACCGAGGCACAGACTGGACAGAGCGCCGCGTCTGGTGAAGGCGCGCCTGGGTCCTCACTAGTGTGACTCCTCGCTGCAGCCAGGGAACGTTCCCCGGGGCTCTCACGCGCTCTCATCACTAAAACCACTGCACATCGGAAACATCCCCACTGTCTTTGGCAGGGGGCAAGTATTTACAGGTTGAAAGACTGAGTAAACCTGTACATACAGCAGAAAACACATGGAAGGGGGTTACCTGTAAATTTAAAAAATGAGACATGAAGGGCAACAAAATATAACATATTCGTCAGACTTTAAAAAGGGCTGCAGATGAGACAAACAAGGTGCGGCAGAGAGAGAGACAGACTGACAGACAGCTATCAAGCCACCAGTCTGCCGGATCCCAGGTACCGCCCAGCCGCGCCTTGCAGCAGTGCCGGCCCTGGTAGCTGCAGCCGGTGCTGGAGCCCAGCAGATGGCAGAGCCTCTGTATGGGGCTACTGCGTGCGCCCCAGGGAAACTGGGGGAGCAGAGAGAGAGAGAGCACCGAGTGGCTCAGAGATACGGCAGGGACAGGAAATCCGTGAGCACCGCACGGCGCCCCAGCTAGAGCCACGAACCAGCCTCAGGGCTACACACGCCAAGGCCAGCACACAGCCGCTAGGTGGGACGACCTGCTCTGGCCCCACCTGCTGCCCGAGTGCCCTGCCCACCTCACCCCCGTGTCGTTGCCAGGGAGACGGGCCTGACAAGCAGGTCCGGACAGCAGGTAGTCTGGACTCGGCCTCCTGGGCCCGCTTCCCAAGGACCCCGACCCTGCACCAACTGGCCTTGTTCTGGAGCGGGAGCCCCCAGCGAGGTGAAACAGGGGACCAGGTTTCATTTTAAAATCACTACTCTGTCCTGAGGACTAGCTCTGTAAAATACCACAACCACCAATTAACGAGAAAAACGATATAAGAAGAGAACGGATATGCCCCCACTGTTTCAACAGTCGATCACTTCATCCACTGCTACAGACACGTCCCTGTGTTTGCCCTCATTTGCTATTGCTCAGTTGCCATCCGTCCGGCCCTGCAGTCCGGCCCTCGCCCCCAGCCACCGGGGGCCCTGGACCTGCAGGCACGTTTAGTAAGGTTCCCATGTGACACATCTGGGGAGTCACTCATTTGGTGTCACTTGAAAACACAGAGCATCCCCAACTGCGAGTGAATTAACAGTAAGAAGAGAATGGATCTCTTACCTGAAGCCACCATGGTGCTGGCCCACAAGGTGTTTTCTATGCTCAGACTTTCATGAACTGGTGGGTCACTGTCCTCCTGCTCGGGAAGAGAAGAGGGCGGCAGCAGTCAGTCACCACCGCTCTCGTGGCTCACCCCCCCCAGAGAGCTGCCATGTGAGGCAGTCTGCACACCGGCCGGCGGGGCAAAGGCACCGCCACACAAGATGGGAGACAGGAACTGAGTCGGGCTCTGGGCAGAGGGTGGGCACCAGGCGCCAGGAGCGTCTCCCCCACCTGCTGACGTGGGCAGAACGTGCCTGATGCAGCTGTGTTGGAACTGAAGTCTTTTGAAGGCTGGCAACTTCCAGCGGAAGGTTTGGGCGGTAAGTTCTGGTTAATTCCGGTCTGTTACAGGTCTCAGCACAGGCCCACCTGCTCGCCCCGCTGCACAGCAGGCACCTGGGCACATGCTCTGAAGCAGCTGCTTACACACACGTACCAGACACTGGGCCGTCAAAGAGCCCGGTCCCCGAGCACTGGGGCTCTGTGCTCCGCCCGCTGCCCATGCTGCCCTGGATCACAGGGCCGCAGATGAGCAGGCGGTGGCTGTGGTGTCATGCCCCCCCCCCCGTGGCAGCAAGGCCCCCTCCACTCCAGTGACTTCAGGAAACGGAAATGGGGAGGACTCTCCCACACCTTAATTTTCCATTTTCTCACTTCTGGGAGCCAAACATTTAAAGATAAGGCTGTCAAAACAGATACGAGGAAAACCAGAAAGCATGTGCACTTGGCCAAGGAAAGCTCAGAAGAGACATAAAAAGATATTAAGTTTATACTGCAGGTTGATCCTTGGCACAGATGGAGCCTGCAAAAAAACCCAAAACCTGAGGAAGGGGAAGAACTTGACCTCAGAGTCACCACATTATTGTATTCAAATCTCCAGTGTTCAACAAAAAAAGAAGCCATAAAGTAACAGAAAAGTGCAGTCCATTTAAAAGAAAAACGTAAATCAACAGAAACTAACTCTGAAGAGGACCTCACAGCACATCTACTAGACGAAGACTTTAAAAGAAAAAAAATTAAACATGTTTAAAGAAATGAAGGTGTGGGCAAAGTTAAAAACACGATCTATGAATAAAGAGACAGAAAACGCAAACAAAAACCAAAAGAAAGAAAAAATTCAAGAGATGAAATACAGTAACTGAAATAAAAACACCCACCAAAGGGATTCAAGGCAGTGAACTTGAAAATGGGACGATGGGAATGATCTTGTCTGTGTGACAGAAGAAGAGCAGGCTGGAGGGGACGGAAGGGACCCCGGGACTGAGGGGCAGCAGAAAGCCAATGGCCGCACTCAGGGCGGGGCCTGGGAAGGGGCAGGGGAGGGGCGGGGAGGGTGTTTGGGGAAACGATGGCTGAAAGCCCCCCAGCCTGACGAAAGGCATCAGTGCGAACGTCCACACGCTAAGACGGCCTGAGCACCGGGAACTCAGTGAGAGCCAGGCTGGGACACATCACGACCAATGTTCTCCCTTCTCCTGACCACACCTTCAGCTGGGTCCTCCTCACACACCCCTGCAGGCTCGGCGACACGCTGCCTGGCGCCCGGGCACAGCTGCACTTGTGGCCGCGTGGCCCCGTGGCCTGCACACTGCAGCGTGGGTCTCCGCCGCTCTCGCTCTCTCCCTGACCCCATGGGCTTCCAGACACGGCCCCGCAAGCACTGCCAGCCTTCAGCAAGGACACACCACTACCTCTGGGACAGAGAGGAAGAGGCAAATGACGTTCCAAAATGTTACTAGTGGGTAAGGCCATAACTTAGTACCATAGTTTACTGTACTGAGGGTGCCTTCTTGTAAGTTTTTTTCTCATGTATGCTCAGTTGTCTAACAAAATCTTGCTTTTTTTCATAAGTATTTTTGCAAAACACAAGACATCTGTTTTCTTCTGGACGCATCGCATAGCGCTCACCTGCAGGGCCATCCTCTCTCCACAAACACCCACCCACACTGTCCCTGCCAAGCTCCTGCAAAAGGCACCAAGTGACCTCCATCCTCACCACGGGCTCCTGCCCACTGTCCCTGGTTTCACACTGACTGGCACACATCAGACCCCTAGCAAATGGTTTCTCAAGTAACAACTGCTCACCACGCCTTGTGTGTGACCCAGGGTGAAACAAAGTTGACTGTACCAACAGAAATCTTTCCAAAGTAACTGCAGCAACTACAGATGAATGCAGTCATGGCAACTGAAGATGAATGCAGTCGTGTCCAAAGACCCCTTCAGCGTTGTACGCCACTCACAACATCAGGACACGCTGCTGAAATCAAGTCACTCCTCCAAGTCCCATTACACAAGGGGACCACACACCACAGCAGTGAGCAGAGCGCAGGGGCACGCACGTGTAAGGGAGCAGACACATGCACACACACCCCTGTGGCTCGTTCACAGCAGTAAAGAAATAGTGTGGCTATCACAGTGTATTACCTGTTCTTCAAAGTCAGACCTGAAATAGCTAACTCACCTCGTTTTACTGACTCAGAACGTTTTAAGGGAGAAAGATCTTAGCAACAGCAAATATGCTTAAAAAATATACTGAATGTATCCTAAAGAAATACTGGATATACAAAAATTTAAAAAACTTGAAACATTTTCTAGGTATTCCCTTTTTAGTTCAAAATTTCTATCAACTTATTCTTGATTTGATGACTCTTCCAAAATAAAGGTTTGCTATGTTTAACTGATGCGCACGATGAATACATTTGTATTTAGGCAGGTCACTCACCCTGGTAAACGTGCCTTCGAAACTGTGGATATCCAGCTGCGGCTTCTGGGCGTGGACGTACGCACGGATAGAGAAGAGGTCCTGGGGTGCGGAACAGCTGCGTCAGCAATGTTATCGTGAAGCAGAACGCCTTGAAAACCTTTCAGTCCCATTAATACCTTTATATATCATTTACCAGAAGTAATGGTTGACTCCCTTACGTTGTGCGTGCCAACAGTATATTCCCCATCTGTTTAGACTTTGACAAATCACACCCCACACGGGATTCTACCCAGGAAAGTGACTTCGCACTTGGACCTCACACTTGCTCGGTGTTGTAAGACAAGAGGCCCAGGTATCAGATGTGGGGCTCACCCGAGTTCAGACCAACAATGTGATGGGAGGGGATCCAACCCAAACGTGCCAGTGCGTTTTGGGGATGACTCACGGGGACCCCGCAGTTAATACTGCACAAACCACAGCCACACATGGAGGCTGCCTGTGCTGGAGCTTTTCCTGGGGTAGAGTTTTAAGAGTCTTTTAGCTATTGATATTTTAGTTGTTTCTCTCTTTTTAAACACTTCTAACTGGGTACAGAAAGCTGAACAAATTCAATGCAGGAGTTTAAAGTCATCTGTCCCTACCAGAGGGCAGAGTTGGCAGGGGCGCTGACATTAGTCCGGGCCTGCCCCTGTCTCCGGTCGGCACTGTGGGCACCAGCTAGGCCATTTGAGCTGAACACACTGAGGGCTTCTGCCCCGATGGCCATCTGAAATTGGGCCACTATCAGCCCCAACATGTGACCCCTGCTCACGTGGCAGGTGGGAGGCCCATCTTCGGTGCCTCACTGCTGCTCCCTAGTGGCTGGCATCCCAGACAGGCCGCAGTGCTGCCCGCGCAGAGGACCAGGGCCTGACCCGCATCCCTTGCCCTCCGGGACCCACCTTGCTCAGGTGGCTTGACTACCGAGCAATGAGCAACGCTGTTCCAGAGAGGGAGACACCTGGTCAAGGGGTGACTGAAGGGCTGGGGTGTTGGGACAGCTGCCTGACCCCGATGACACTGCTGTGACCACAGAGGTCACTGCAGGCAGAGGGAGGAAGCAAGGCCACCATGGCCCCTCTGAAAGGTCCCCCGGCTCCCCTCCTGTCGCCAGGAGAGCGGCTGCCAACCTTTAAGGCCCAAAACGCCAAGGGGCAGCTGGGTCTTCTCCGGTGAACTGTGGGTGAGCGGGCGCTGACCCGCCTGCTGCCGCCAGGACCCTGCGGGCGACCCTGAGCCCTGCAGGGCAGGAGGGCAGCAGGGCAGGCGTCTCCCACACTGGGCGAGGCCCGACACGACACGCAGGGCCTCTGCTGTGAAGACGCGCAGGTGGCTGGGCTGTGGGGCGTGGAGCCCAGGGGCTCCCGCCAATGGCGGGCAGGGCGGCTCGGCCTGGGGCGCAGTCCCCACGCGCGCTTCCGCCCCACCCTCCTCCTGCACCGGCCCCCCAAGGTTTCCAGAGCACGCTGGTGTGCGCGCCTACGCTCTCCCGCTCCCGCAGCAGAGCGTGCGTGCCCCGCCATGCTTGCGCGTTTTCCACGGTCCACACCCGGGGCGGCGCAGGCCCGGCAGAGAGCGCAGCCTCCCTGCAGGCTCCTCCGCGAGCTCCCGTCCTCGTTCAGAGGACAGGTGACATCTGTCTGCACTTTGTTTCCGACTTCGATCCCGGTGGCTGAGGAGTATTCAGACTTTCAAGTTGCGTTCCTTCAGGGGCAAGTGTGAAATAAGATTCTAGAACACACAGCGTGGGAGGAGGTCAAAGCAGCCACAGAAGATGGAACAAGGGCTGGGCCCCCGCCTCCTCCAAGGCGGGAGCTACAGGCAGTCACACCCGTGTGGCCTCCGTGCCTGCCTTGCGCTGCCCACGCCCTTCCCCTCCCGCCTCCTCACCACGTGAGCCCCCCCCCCCCAGCGCGGGTGGAAGCAGGGGCAGGCTGTGCCCTTTGCGGGGCCACATGGGTGTGACTACCTGTAGCTCCCGCCTTGGAGGAGGCGGGGGCCCAACCCCTGTTCCATCTTCTGTGGCTGCTTTGACCTCCTCCCACGCTGCTCACAGCAGGGAGACTCCGGTCTGTTCTCGTGACGGGCTGCGTGGCCCTGGGCCCCGACGCCCCTCCAGGGTCTTGCTGTGATGACCGTGTGTTCTAGAATCTTATTTCACACTTGCCCCTGAAGGAACACAACTTGAAAGTCTGAATACTCCTCAGCCACCGGGATCGAAGTCGGAAACAAAGTGCAGACAGATGTCGCCTGTCCTCTGAACGAGGACGGGAGCTCGCTGGCCAGGAGCAAAGGCAGGGTACAGTGGAAAGTCACCGATGGAGGGTGACCGCGCCCGCGCTGCCTCCCCAGCCCGGGAGGTTGGATTCACACGGAAACAGAACCGCTGCGGGCAGCAGCGTGGGCCGGGCTGCATGTGTCTTCCGAAACCAGGGGGAGGCAAGGTCATGACCCACCTCCACAAATCACTCACAGAAGGGACCGGAATGGCCTTCCCAGGGGACACAGCGCGGAGCTGGCGCTGCAGGCCAGAGGCTGCACCCCGGGAGACCCCGGCTGCGGGGCTGTAGAGCAGCTGCCTGTGGGTGGAGGGAGCCCACGGGGTTCTGGGCTCCAGCGCTGCAGGGAGCCCCTGGGCCACAGGAGCTCTTCTCAGGCCTGCTCCTTGGAGGAGGCTGCGCAGGAAGATGCACAGAGACCCCTTCCTGGGTGGCCAGGGGACAGGGACGCTGTACCAAAGGGGGGGGGGGGCGCCAGCTCAGCACTGCAGGCCTCTGGTGGCAGCCTGGGCTATGTGCGAACTGAGAACAATTTATTTTCAAGCTAATGCAGCCGAGCTAGCTCACAAAAGGGGCACTGAGATGCCCGGTTTAACAGTTTCAGTCCTACGCAGTGTGACTGGCATGTTGAATGGAACACGCGGCAAACAGCGAGGGTAAGGCAAATTTGAGAATCCCTCGTTATTCGTATTACACGGTCATCGTAATTTTCAAAAAGTAATACGCTCGTATAACACACTACCTTTGGAGACTCGAAAATAAAGAACAAGCTAGCAGCCACCCTCACGCCGACATGGACGTTCAGGGGAAGGCATTTCATCTGGTGTATTAGACACCAAATGACGGAGTAATGGCACAATAATGAGAATGCCATTCGAAGCTTTTCATGATAATTTAAAAACCATTCTCAAGTTTTCCATCACGTGGAAAAGCCTCTGCTATTAGGTCAAGGGCAACATTTGTTCACATTACTTAAAGGTCATTAAAATACATCCTTAATCATAACATGTGGTTCATTACAAATAAAATTGCCTTTCATTCAATAAAACTCATTAAATGTAAATGGTATTGTTTACTGCTATATGGATCTTCTGAAATAAATCAGCAAGTCATGATTTACTGAAAACTGCTATGACTCGTGGTTAATAAATGTGTCTGATCACAAAAGCCAGGGACGTATTTCCCGCAGTGTAAGGTGCCCGCAGCTCGAGGCCCCGACGCCCGGGCAGCACTGCACCGCGGGCAGGGCCGGGCCCGGGGCGAGTGTCCGCTCGGGGCTGCTGCCCGGGGAGGCTGCTCCTGGCAGGTCCCCGGTTCAGAAGAAAAGGCCTAAGGTGTCCTCACTGCTGGTGTCCCAGGGCACACAGCACTTGGCGGGTGACAGGACTGACAGCAAACGACACCTAGTAGCTCCCCGGGCGTCATCAGACAGATGAGTCCCCGGAGTGACAGTCACGGGTGTGCCCACTATTCAAGGAGAAACCCAGCTGCCTGGCCCGTCCCCACAGTAGTAACACTGCAGCTTTCTTTTCTAGGAAAAAAACAGCTACGTAAAATCTGCCAAATTACACAAAGCTACACATTTAATCTAACTGATAAATCAGAAATTCAGTTAAACTTCCTACTTTTGGAATATACTGCTATTGGGTTTTATGGCCACATGGAAACTTAAAAAATTTTCATTTACCACACAGTTGCTCAATCTGAATGCTCAACCCCATTCCCTACCATAAAGTTAGCATTCGCCATAAAATTTTAAAGTTAGTATTATATGGCTTGCTTACTATAATTTTGTAATATTTTGAAATTTATACATTTGTGTCATTAATAAAAATGAAAACCATCCTCATAATCCTGAATATGATGAAATGTCAGCTCCTATCACCAGTAAAAAATAGAGGTAATAACAATATAATTTTAACTACTTTCTTAAGATATAATTTACAGGCAATAAATTGCACGTTTAAAATGTACAATTTTGCCCTGGCTGGTGTGGCTCAGTGGGTTGTGCATCTTTCTGCAAAACGAAAGGTCTCGGGTTTGACTCCCAGTCAGGGCACACACCTGGGTTGAGGGTTCGGTCCCCAGTCACGGTGCGTGTAGGAGGCAACAGATCAATGCTTCTCTCCCTTCACTCCCTTCGCTTTAGAATCAATAATAAGAAAAAAATTAAAAACACATGCATACACTGTCATGCACTAACACACGTGCACACCTGTGCCATCGCCCCGTCATGCTGCCTCTCAGACCGCTCCCTCCCATCCTCCGCATGCCTCCCTGCCGTCTCCGGCCTCCGTCACTGCTGACCCGCTTTTCCTGGAATCACAGTTTGTGCTGCCGTAAACCGCACGCTTCCGTCTGCAGGGCTCACGGCTGGCTTTTCTTGAGACAAACTATAATGCGGTGCTTGGACCCTGCACTTTTTTCCTACCACTCGTGACAAAATTAGATCTGCTACAAAGGATGACTTAGCGCAACTCTTCCCCAGGGGCCTTGCCAGGGACCTGAGGGTTCTTGGAGGTGGGCCCCTCCAGCCGGACAGCCCAGTGAAACCCTTCCGGTCATCGGGGACCTCTGCCTCCGTCCTGAATGACCGCCTGAGGACGCTTCTGCCAGAAAAGGGGAAGGACGCGGAGCAGGGCCGCTCTGCCACTGAGCAGGGCGGCACAGGCCCGATGGGCAGCCCAGCCGGCGCTGGAAAGCCAGCCGACCGCGAGACTGCGTCCCGACAAGAACCGTCTATCTGAACAACTAGTGTGAGAGCTGCGAGCTGCGTAAGGCAGATGCTGACAGCACATGGGAGGGTTGTTTAAGCAGGCACAGAACATGAACCCAGAGAGACCGTGTGTGAGCCCCGTCACAAGTCTATACACACAAAAGGACTGAAATAGAACTAGATACACTCTGTGAACCTAACAGAATCAAAAAACAAGTTATAAAAGATGATGAGAGCCCTGGCTGGTGTAGCTCAGTGGATTGAGCACAGGTCTGCGAACCAAAGGGTCGCAGTTCGATTCCCAGTCAGGGCACATGCCTGGGTTGCAGCCCAGTTCCCACCAGGGGACACATGAGAAGCAACCATACATTGATATTTCTCTCCCTCTCTCCTTCCCTTCCCCTCTAAAGATAAATAAATCTTTAAAAAGACAATGAGAAAATCCCCAAATAACTGGTAAATAAACAATGCATTCCCCAGTAAATGAGGGGTGAAAGAACAAACTGTAAAGGGACCGCGGGAAGCACAGGGCATCCCAGTACCGAGAACCACGCTGCTCCCGAGCCTTACGCACGGGACCGTCTGATCCCTGCCCAGCCCCGGACCCGGGGCCCCGAGGACGGGCCCCGTCATTCCCACAGCACGAGCAGGCTTTCTACCCACAGCCGCGGCCCAGGGAAGGGGCCAAACCACGGCACCCGGTCCCCTCCCTCGGCCTACACGGACGTGGGCCAAGGGTCCTTCTTAGAGGGTCTCAGCCCTTCGTCACCGTCCACTGAGTATCCGCAGATCATATACAACGAAGCTTCTCTCATTTGGATACACACCACATATACCACCAAATAACATCAAATGACTGTAACTGTGTTTTTGGTTTTTTTTGAAAGATGTCTACCAGTTGAGGAGATTCTCAGCATTACTGACATGTTTGTGACATCGCTGAAAACACCCAAATCCCGAGTCCTGTTCCGTCTAATCTCACCCCTGCTGGTCCCCAGGACAAAGGCCCAGCCTGAGTCTGAGTGTGTCCTTCTCTCTCCCACAGCCACGACCACTCCGCTTCCTCCGCAGCAAAGCCGCCCCCCCACCCCCCCAAACCACCAAAGGACAAGCTGCCTGCACAGGCAGGACTGCGGCGCTGGGGTTGATGCCCATGCAGAGCAAGGCCCCAACCAGCCTGGGAGGTAATGGGCCCGCTGGTGCCACGGACCCACCAAACCCTCACCCACGTGCTGCGTTTTAAAGACGGCTCAACAGAGAGGGTTTAACAAACAAAAAGGGTAAGAAAAGAAGGAAAACCTCAGTGTGGAGCTGACAGCGGCATTAGAAACTGGACCCAGAGCAGAGTATGTGCTAAGATACCACAGAAATTATGTTGGCATAATGTTCAATGATTCTTCTTTGGTAAAAAATACCATTTTTAAAAATGATCAGTGCACGCCCTGGCTGGTGTAGCTCAGTGGATTGAGTGCGGGCCTGCGAACCAGACAAGCACGGTTCAATTCCCAGTCAGGGCACGTGCCTGGGTTGCAGGCTGGTTCCCTGCAGGCCAGTTCCCAGCAGGGGACGCACGAAAGGCAACCATACATTGATGCTTCTCTCCCTCTCTCCTTCCCTTCCCCTCTAAAGATAAATAAATAAAAAATCTTAAAAAAAAACCCAAACCATCCCCTTAAAAAAAAAAAGGTCAGTGCATCCGGTAGGTCGGGCGGCACACAGGGCCCCCAAGGACGCAGACGGGTCTCACCCCCAGGGCTGGCAGCCTCTGCGTGCAGCTCACGGCCACTCTCAGCTTCCAGTCGGTCTCGCCGTCCAGCTGATCGGTTCTTATGAAACATGACCCTTGGGAACAGAGAAGAAAAACTCCTGAGTCGCAGGTACTTCAAAGCAGAAGTTACACAGCACGGTCAGACCCCAAAATGATGTATCTACAGAGTCCCCTAAAACAACCTTTAAAAGCCTTTATTTACCTGATTTCACAAAACAAGCTTGCTGAAGACATACAGGTCACTAACAATTTAATACTTATGTCCTTGCCTGCCAAGTTTTAATATTAGTTGTGCTTTACTTTAGAAAAACTGCACTGATCATTTCTACTGCTGATTCACGTTTTGATAACAAAACAATAAGCAAAGACTCAAAAGCATCCAAGAATGTGAGATGTGACTTTGTTACTGAAACGTCTGAGGCACTGTCAGAGAGCACGTGCTCCGTCATAAAGGCACAGGCAGAACGCTGACACCCAAGTCACGGCCACTGTCACACTGACACCCCTATCCAAACACCAGGAAGAAACGTTACATTCCAACAGCCCACTGACCCTCTGATGCCACCGTTCTCGGACCCGGCCCTCAGAGGACGGCAGGTTTCACACGCACAGCGTGACACCCGGGTGACACTGGAGCAGCGTTCATTCTCGCACTCGGGGACACGTCAGGTAGGTCTATCAGAAACCGTCCCACAGCGCAGTCAGCTCGGCTGCGCGGCGTCCCGAAACTAACATGGACCTGTGCCCCCCGCACCCCCGTCCCAGCCTCAAGTGCATCCGAACCAGAGGAGGGCCCTGCGCGCCGAGGGCTCGCTCTGCTCCCCCGTGTGCAAAACACCAGACACCGCTCTCTGCCAACCAATTTTCTCCCAACGAGTCTCACCACCAGCAATTCTGTGCTGCAAGTGCGACCCACGATAGCCCTTCACCAGTCACATTTCTCCCCTCTGACCAGCCCCTGCCACGGCCGTCACCACTGCCAAGGGACCCAGGAGGCTTGCAGAGCCTGGGCCCCCGCCTGGGGCACAGCAGGGCCGACCGTCCGATCGCCTCGTGTGGCCGTCCCCCTCGTATGTGCGTGGTCACCCCACGTCTGCGTGTGTTCTGATGAGAAAACAAAAGCTGTACAAAGGGGCTGGAGGCGGGCTCCTGTCTGACACGGACTTTGAAAGGGCAGCGCCCCACTCCGCTCGGGTCTGCTTTCTAACACGAAACTGGAAAATGTGGGCTTCCCCATGGTTGCCCCCACTTCAAACATTCTGGGTCTCTGAAGGGAAAGTGCGTCTATCTAGATTGCTGTAACTTATGAAATGGGGAAACAGTATAGTTGCCTTTCTTAAGAAAAGGACTTGCTGCACGTTAAATAATTATGTGCTTTTTAAAAAATTTACAAGAAATTGACATGCCATTTATCTTCGGTTACAGGGAGCATTGCTACTGTTGCAGTGACTGATAGGATTTGGAGCGGTAGCGACCACAAGTATGGCCAAATGGACTTGTCTTACAGGAACTGCAGCTACTAATTTTTTAACAGCAAGCATGACTTTCAACCGATGCCAGTTAGGGCTCGGCAAAAATGAATTATTAAATCGGTCTGCTTATATCCTATTACAGACTTCTTATGAATACTGGATTTTATTTTGTATAATTGACAAGAGTTGACAGGAAAGGACAGGTCTAATGACAATCCAACTGAGATCACCGGTGTCTGTGTTGCAGAGGACAGCCGAGCAGGTGCCGGCGCCGCCACCCCCCCCCCCGTAGCACGGGCACGCGGCCTGCAACAGCCTGCGGATCCAACGGCTCTGAGAGACGGGCCACAGTGTGTGCCACCAGAGGAACACAGACATCGACTCTGCGTGGGTAAGGCCAGACCGTTCGCCATCAGACTCGATTTCTAAATCATTCACATGACTCAATGACTCTGCAAGACGAACGGCACCGCAGAGAATGGGGACAGTGTCGCTCCCTGCCCTCGCCCCACTAACGAGCGACGGCCGAGCTATGGTAATATGTCCTGGACACTTGAACCATAATGTCATCGTTTAGGAGGCAAGTGAAAAAGATATTGGCATTTATAAGAGATTGATGAAAATTAGTTCTCAAGCATTAATTTCTCTTAATACCACCAAAAGCACCGTGTGCATTCAGGAGATATTTGATCTGAATTAAGACACTGATGAAGCAATTGATTAATTGGAATTTAAGCCATCAGTCACCAGATCCATCAACAGCTTCATTTACATTCTAAACAATCAGCTGACGGCCCAATAGAACATCCTGTATTAATACATAGTCGATGTGACACCACGAAGACTCGCTGCCGCACTGACCAACGCCCGCGGAGACTGCCCGGGCGCAGACACGCCACCCAGGGCCAGGCCTCTGATGTTCCAGGCTTAAAACAGTTCTGCTAGACAGACAATGCACTATCAGGTTTTTCCGAACTAAAGCTGAGAAGTAGTAATAAAGTAATATTAACAGTGCCAGGAGATACACAAAAATTCTCAGGATGTGTACTTTTGAAAACTAGCCAAATAAAAACACTTAAAAGAGTTATTTGAAGGCATACAAGTAGAATTGCCAAAGCTAAGGATCCTTGACTGAAAGTCATTTTATGGCACAAATTTTACGCAGTGGGAAGCTTTTGGTCCACTTTGCAAAGAAAATAAAAATAGCACGAAACAGGTGTCTGACACTTTAACATGAACAACTCTTTTTTGTAATTTGATTAAAAAAAAAAAGCTGAGAAATGTAAGAGAATCACAGGCTAAAACAGACCAAAGTAAAGTGCTGAACTTGGGTCCATTAACAACCTTCCAAAAATACACGAAGCAATAAAAAAACCAGCACACACGTGTATTACGGACGTGTTTGTGGCAAACAGGGAGGTAACTCCTAGACTCTGAAAGAGACCCGGAACCCCAGGCGCCACCTTCTGCCCAGCAGGGCCCACAACACAGCCGAACGAGGGGAGGAAGGGAGAGGCGGGCGACTGGACAGAGCGGTGTCGCTCACCCGGAGGTGGCGCCACGGCGCATCCCACTGGCCCGGTGCACCCCGGTCCAGTCTGTTTCGCTGCCTTAACCACGGCGCAAGGGTGGCTGGGTGGGAGACCGCCGGAAGGTCACGGAAGGATGTCCGCAACTGCAGCCATCAGACGACCTCCAGCCTCGGAGCTCTCTGGAAAGTGGACGCTTCCGCCTCCCAGCTTTTAAATGCTGGGCTTTCCCCCTCCTTTATCCCCTGCACAGTCCACACCACCTACTCCCTTCAATGACTAAACTACTCCCGTATTCGGGGGAGTGTTCGTAATCTTCTGTATGCTCTCAGCACAATCATTAAAAGGGCAATTTAGTATCAAAGCACCATCCACACGGACACGTTTCTGTTACTCACTGTAATGACTACATTGTATTTAGAAATAAAGGCAAGTCATAGGTAGGTAATGTCAGCAGGGAGGGCAGCATAAAAAAATCTCTGAAAACCCATCTCACCATCACTCCATGAGAATATTAGCAAAAACGGTACAGAGCAATCTATTTAGAACTCTGGAACGTAAAAAGTGTGTGACAATTCAGGCGCATTTACCCAAGAGGCACACCGACAGCAGTAACGGGAGCTGTACTCCGGCCTGCCCCGCGCCCCGCGCTCTGCCCCAACTGTGGGGACCCACAGTCTGGCAGCCACTGAAGGGCGCAAACCTCGTGACCAGAGGACTGTGGCCACTCAACAGGGAGGGCTTGTCTGGATTTCACCTGAGGCGGAGGTCATCCACTGAGAAGAGTGGTTTCCCTGGGAGGTTTGTCAAAAACAGGGGCAACTGCTTAACGTCACAACCGCCTCAGGTGGTCATAAAGTTGGGGTAAACAACAAGTTCAACAAAAATCTTAAAAGCTGGAACATCAAACGACAGAAAGGGCTTTGGAAAGCTCTGACACGTCACCGCAGCGCTGGAGGGCCACCTGTCTGTGCAGGGCTGCCTGCACCCCGGGGAGGCCTGGGCACCTGGAGGCTTGGGGTGAGCGGAAGCAAAGGGGAAGGCCAGGTGTGGGCTGCCAGTGTGGGCTGCCCGCTGCAGTGCTGCAAGGTCAAGACACTAACGGTGTGAAAAGAGAAACCTTGCAGCTTGGGCCCCTCAGGAATATTTCTCTCGCACCCTGAGTCCAGTGGTAACGGAAGGAGAGGGAGCTCTGCCATTTCAACAGGCAGCTTCCAAGGCCCCCTGGTCGCACACGAGTCTCCCACCCGGCTGCGCAGGGAAGGGAAGAGCAGGCGGCTGTGCCAGGTAAAGTTCAGGGCTGAAAGGGGTGCACGGGGCTGTCAGCGATCCCCCTCTAGCCAGCCCACAGGGCAGGGCCCCCCCGACTGCATCTGCACAGCACGGCCTGGCTGCTGCCAGTGTGCACCCCGCCCCCCCAGGTGCAAGGCTCCCGAGCTCTGCCGGCAGCTGCTTCGCTCCCTCTCGCGCCCAGAGCACCTCGCAGTACTTAGTGAGGGCAATAAATGCTGGCTGACCTAACGAGTCAAACGGCAAATGCAGAACAGCAACCAAATTCTCAGTGACACCGTGTACTTATTTAGACAGCGACATGGGTATGAATGAGAGCACTCATCTGATGTGTAGGTTCTGGAAGGGTTACAGTTTTTAAACAAACATACAGTAGCTTCCCTCTTTCACACATCAACAGTTAAATGTAATTTAGAAATTAGTGAATTTAATTATTTATCATTCAAAGAAAAGTGTTCATAAAATTTTCCTTTCAAAATGAAAATTAAACTGCCAAAATACCAAGTCGTCGGTAACGTAAATAAAAATAAAGATACCTGCTTTTTCTGAAGTCCTAAGAAATACCATGTCTGATGGAATTCTTTGATTCTGTAGAGAGTAACAGAAAATGTTAATTATCTATATGCAGGTTTACAAATTAACACAAATTCATTCCAAAGTAGAAACAGCTAATAGAAACAACTAAAGTGTTAAACTAAATTTATGTCGAAGCACTCACATTTATAATCTGTATTAAAACAAGTATTTCAAGTCATGTTTCAGTTGGACTTTAAGATTTTTTCCCCATTAATGAACCATGTGACTGGTATGCAGCAACGGGTCGAAAACGGCTCCCTGTTGGAGAAGCGCTAACTGCTGCCATTTCTGCGGCCAATGCTGCACCCTCACCGGCCACCCAGCAGTTACTGCCTCATACAAAGCACACCCTCCCTGTGCACGAAACGACCCCGGGGAGGGAGGTGAGCCTTCTCCCAGTGTCTCACACCAAACAAAGCTTATCACCAATGAGACGCTTAGTAAATCTTGAATGAATGAATGTTCACCTGAGCAACCAAAGACACACTCCATAAAACTGAGCTTTATGGCATGTAAAAACTTTTATACCATACACTTATTTAATCACTCTTATTAATAATCTATCAACTGAGAAAGCTCTATCAAAATGAAAAAATATATAATTAGAGTATTTCACATAATTGCATGGGTTACATTTCTTAAGACCTACATGAGGATTCACCCACACACGATCTGAGGACTGTCTGTCTGTTTTGCTTGGTGGCTCAGTCTGTGCATGAGATGCCACATAGGAGTGACATCATACGGCACTTGTCTTTCTCTGACTGGCTCACGCCACTAAGCATGACGCTCCCCACGGTCACCCACGGTCACAAAGGGTGAGACAGAGGCAGGCTGAGAGCTGCGCAGGGGGAGGCTGGACGGATGGAGAGAAAAGGAGAGGAGCCTGGCGGACACGGACAGCGGTGCAGCGGCGTGGGGGGCGGGGTTCAGGGGATAAATGGTGGTGAACGCAGACCCTGTCGATGGGCTGTGGGACTCTGTGCCTGAAACCTGTGCAGTTTTGTGGCCCAGTGTCACCCCAATCGAGTCAATAAAAAGGAAACAAAACGGGTTATTTGTCAGTCAGCAAACAATAAAAAACAACTATAAGTTGTTAAGGCTGAAGAAAGCATGTGGCAGAAGAAAGCGACTTATTTCTAACATGAAGAAAGAACGGCAATTGCCCTCTAAGCAACTTCTAGGCCAAGGCAGAAATCCGAAGGCAATGGGAAAACATTTCAGCTACCTAGTAACAAGGTCTCAACGCATCGAAATGCGTGGGGCACAGCCCAAGTCAGGAAAACCTTAAGAGGAAAATACACACAAGTAAACGGGTACAACAGAAAAGGGAAGCTAAAAGCACAGAGAACTAAATACCCATTTGAAAGCAGGACAAAAAACAACCAATGAACGGAGAAAGTACAAGATGTAAGCACATACACGCACAACAATTAGTGACACAGAAAACAAATATAGAAAGTAAATATTTCTCAAATAGGCCCAACTGAGTAGTAAATAAAACTAGTAAAATAAACTAAAAAAAGATGGGTAAGCCTTACAAAAAACTAAAATATTACTGAGAGAAATTAAATGAAACCTAAAAAATACAAGGTATCATGTTCCAAAACTAGAATATACGGTATTGCAAAAATGCCAAGTGTCCACGAATTGACCTATATATTCAACGGAATCTTGCCACGCTCTTGGTGGGAATTGACAAGGCACTGCCACTATTTACAGGGAAATACGAAGGCCAAGGGCGACCACGACCAACACGAGAAACAGCTGCACTGACAACACACAAAATGGAAAGGCCGAGACGGTGACACAGACAAGGCAGGGTCTCCGAGAGAGAGAGGGGGGGGTCCCCGTAAGAGGGATGCGATCTGAGAGGAAAATGAAACCGCAGACCGGTGAGGAACCAGCGGGGAGAAAACCAGATGCCCACGGTGGGGAGTGGGGTGCCTGACCTCAACTTCCATCAAAACACAAGTCAATTCCAGAGGAATTATATATTTGAACATCAAAATCCAAATAACGAAGGTCCTAAACAGTGACATAGAAGAATATTTTCACAACACTTTGGGAAGGAAGAAGACTCCGTCCCTAGGGCCAACAATTTTTTTAAAAGCTACAGATGAATGAAGTAGACTTCATTAAAATGAAGGATTTCTGTTCAACACAGCACGCCGGGAAGGAAAAGATACTTGCAACGTAAAGGACTCACATCCGGACACACGAAGGCCTGCGGACTGGCAAGAAAAGAAGGGCTGGCCCGGAAGAGAAATGGCGAGAGACTTGAACAGGCCCTTCCCCAGTTAGGAAGCCGTCCAAAACCACACGGGAAGATGCCCCACTTTATTGGCCTTCGAGGAAATGCACACCAGCGCCACACCTGCTGTGCGCAGATTGGGAACGCCGGCAGACACGGGGCGCGGGGGGCCTCACACACTGCTGACCAGAGCACCCACCAGACTGGAATGTGTGCACCCCCGCCCGGCACCCCACGCCAGGCGCAGGCGCGGCAGCAGTGGGCACACAGGGGAGCCCACGCCGTGGCAGCACGCAAGCAGGAGCCCTCCTGATCGGCAACACTCGGAAGGAACCCAAACACTCACCAACAGCAGAATGGACACAGGGCAACCGGAGCAACAACAAAGTGAATGGGTTACAGCTGTGCACAGAAAACCGGAAGGGCCTCACTCATCGTCCTGGGCCAAGAAGGGCTCCCACCCGATCACTCCCCCACTGCTGGGAGTTTTTCAGCACCCTGGTCAAAAATCAGTCAGCCGTAAACGACAGCTTTCCTTGTGGACTCTCGACCCTGAACCTGGGCTAGTCCCTCACTGTCTGGATCACCAGGAGTCTCTCTGCACGAGGGGTTGAGACAGAGAAATGCAGGTACTCCAGTTTTATTCACTTTTAAAAATTACATTGGCTGCTCTGGGTCCCTTGTATTTCCAAATAAACTTGAGTATCAGCTTGTCAGTTTCCGCAAAGAGGTCAGCTGGAAAGCTGAAGACAGCGGGGGGGGGGGGGGGCCCTGCCTGCATCTGCGGACCAGCGGAGGGGTCGTTGTAACAAGTCATGAACACGGGACGTCTGTCTGTTTACTTACATCCTCTTCAACGTTTTACACTGAATGTCAACAACAACATTGTCAACAATGTTTTACAGCTTCAAATGCAACTGCTGTACTTCTTTTGCCTATTCTTGGAAAAGAAATCTACTTTATAAGTACTTTATTCTTTTTGATGCCATTGTAAATAAAATTCTCTTCTTAATTTCATTTTCAAGCCATTACACTTCATTCCCTCATCATGTTCATTGTCTACAAGGCACTCGTAAATAAACGAGGTTAACTTTAAATAATTACTGGAAACCTTTTATTTTCCTCCCCTCGAGACTGGGAGCCACGTGAGAGCACTGCGGACACGGGGCCCTGGGGTCTGAGTGAGAGGGTCTCCTGGCCCGTCCTCGGCCGGGCCACCCAGGCCGCCTGGCCTTTGGCCACCATGAACAATGAAGGCACAGACAGTCACGCAAAGGCTTCTGTGCCAACTTGAACACTTTTCTGTGACGAAGGCTCAACAGTTCGATTTCTGAGTCCCGTAGTCTTTGTATATTTAGCGTTTTAGCAGGATGACTGTCACAGGGGGTACCCCCACCAGGAATGCCCGGTCACCCTCCTCTCCCCACTGCGGCTGGTGCTGGGCGGCGGCCCTTGGGCCTCACTGCCAACTCTGCTCCGTGTGACGCTCCGCCCTGTCCCACTCACCCGCCTGGCAGTCGGTGATGCAGTGTCTCTCCTCGTGCTGATTTTGCATCTACGTATCTTCTTTGGTGAATTCTCTTCATATCTTTTGCCCATTTTCTGACTCGATTTTTTTTTACTATTGACTTTTAACAGTTTTTACATATTCTAGATAAAATCCTTGTCAGACACATGGTTTACAAATATTCCCTCCCACTTTCTCATTTATTTTTTCATTACATTGACAGGTCTTTCACAAGCAGTTTTTAACGATAATGAGATGCAGTTTACCAAATCTGGTCTTGGCTGCACTGTGCCTTTGGTGTCTTTGGAGTCTAAGAGCTACTTTTCTGGCCTAGGTCCTGAACACATTTTCCCTACTTTTTTTCTTAGAGTTTCACAGTTCTCCAGTTCACAAGAAAATCCACGATCTGTTCCGACAGGACATTTGTATGAAGTGTGACGCCTGCTGAGGGTGCCCCCACAAGCCCAGGGGGCTCCAGCTCACCCACCGAGGGGTGGGCCTTTCTCCTCTTGAAGTGTGTCCTGTGAGCGTACCTGGGCAGGCCCACTTCTGGGCTCTCCCTGGCGCTGTGTGGGCCAGCTCCTTGCAGGCCGTGCTCTTGATGTCTCTAAGGAGGAGGACGTGGCCTGGGGAAGACCGATTCTTCTCCCTTCATTCTCTTGCCAAGACAGCTTCGGCCATTTTAGCACCCGGACCTTGCCAAATCAGTTTTAGAAAGAGCTTATTTTGTTTACAAAACAGACAAGCGCTGCTGAGGTTTTGTAGGGAGTGTGTCAGTGCTACAGATCAGCTGTGGGGAAGCCCCGGCGAGCTTCAGCCTACGACCACAGTGTGGCTCTGAAGGCTGTGAACGGGCCCCCACTGTGCGTGCCTCGGCTGTGTCTCACGGGGCGACCGACGGCACTGCGTTTGCAGCGCGGCTCCCACACATCCACTGGCACTGGCACTGGGGCATGGGTCTCGTCACACGTCACCATGGTGCCCTCTTCAGTTCCAGGAGGCTCTCCTACACACAGGTCTGTCACCTGCGAAGAGGGGCATTTTCACCTCTTCCTTTCTGATCCGAACACCTCCTGTCTCCTGCTCTTGTCTCGGTCAGTGGCTGGAACCGCCCTCGGAGGGAGAGGGCAGCAGCAGACCGCGTGCCGGGGGCCCAGCCTAAAGGCGAGGTGTCCGCTGCGTGCTGGGTACTAGGCATAGACGCTCTCTCCTTGAGCTCGCCCAGACGGTGCGCAGACTCCACCCCCGCCTTCCAATCCCACACAGCACTCCGCAGCCTCTTCAGCCAGCAAGCGAGACTGGAGGAGCTGGGGCCAGGGCTCCCAGCTGGCGTCCGCACGGCCCGGCCCTGCAAAAGGCCCACCTGGCCAGGAATGGGGAGGCCTCGAACCAAAGCCCTGGAACTGGGGCCTGAGTCCGACAAGACCTGAGTTCTCCCAACAGCCCAGGGGAGCCTGTGGGTGATGGCCAACTGATGGATCCCTTGACTGTGGACTGGAGAGGGATTCAGAACCAGGAGACCCAGCCCGGCTGCACCCAGGGCCCCGACCACACTGTGACACAGTCAGTGTCGGTGTTCGAGGAGAACAGCACGGAAACCTGTAGGACTGCCGCCCGGCGTGGCCTCTCCACTGCTGGCGTGCACCCCACAGGCCCAGGTGCAGATGCAATGCACCGGTGTTTGCCAGGGCCCTTTGCCACAGGGAGCACCTGAAATCTCAGGAAGAACCAAAGGTTGGCAGCCCACGTCCATGCAGATGAGCCACGTAGAGTTGCGAATCAGTAGGCCTTCCCGTGCCCGCCTCTGTGAGATCGAACACAGCCAAACCACCCTCAGCCAGCCAGGCGAGCCAGCAGGGCTCCTGGGTCTGGAGGACGGGCACTTCCATCCTTGTACGGAACATCCCCACCAGGGGGCTCAGGCCGGTGCCTGAGGGTCCCCGTGGCCTGGACGCTGGCGAGCACCAGGGCTGCTCTGTTGTGCTCTGCCAGAGGCCTTTATAAACCGTGCCATTTACTGTTTTAAAAAGCTGTCCTGAGCTTTAAAGATAAGGGTGGGGGTGCTGTCCTGTCCAGCCGGGCGCTGCTCCTCAGGAAGACTGTGGGTGGGAGACAGGTCGGCCCCCATAGGGCCCCGCCCCAGGCCATGGCAGGCCCCGCTTTCCCCCTCTGGCCACTGGGAGGGCTTCCTAACGGCTTCTCCCTACACTGACCTACGCTTTTCCCTTCTGATCCTTCTTCCATCCATTTTCCTTTCCTAGCGCTTCACCTGACTTCACGGTGACCCATAAGCACGTCAGCAACCACAGAGGGACTCTCGGTGTCCACGAGGACTGCTGCCCGACAACTCCGTGTGTCCGTCTCTCCTGTGAAAGGCAGCTCGAGAAGCTGGAACGCGTTCTACTGTAAACATTCTGCTGTAAACAGACTCTAGCACGGTTCCTGAGCAAATCAGAGCGTTCTGACGGTGCAACATTAAACAGTTAACACATCTTATTTTATAGACAACACATGACTTTACCTTCACACACTGAAATGTACTTTAGCAAAACAAGACTATACTGAAGAAAAATCTAGATTTTTCTTCACATACAGCAAATCTTACATAATGAGGTTAAGATTTAAAATAAATATGTCCATTTCTGTCATCTTCACAAGTTACTACTCGCAATCATACTAAAAGACAATAATTGGCATGTACATGTCTAAAATATATTAAAAATGCATCAACCTTTTCCACTATGATGAGGTCTCCAACTCGTATGTCTGAACTCTTAACTTGCACTTTACCTTAAAAAAAAGAAGAAGTATAATCAACGCAAGGAAACAGCAGCACATCAGAGTTAAACTTTCAACTGTAAACAATGCTTCAGAAGTAACTTTTGGGGGACACAACTTGAGGTATTTATCTCCACCTGCATTTTCAAAATAAATACTTTATTTGAGTCACTAAAAATTAAGTTTTTAGCTCCCAAATACAATGAACCAATAAAACCCACATGGGCATGTGCAGGGTTCCATCCAGAAGGTTCCTCCCCCAGCTGCCGTCAGTGCAGGTGAGTCGCGTCGCGCCGACGAGAAGCTAAAGAAGACGGTCAGCGCAGCGCCCTCCCCCGAAGCGTCACAGAGACCCCGAGAGAGAAGGAAGGCCCGCAGGCTCGTCAGACAGTGGTCCTTCCACCCGCTGCGTAGGTGCCGTCTGGCGCACACTCATCACGCACAACATTTCGTACCTGACATCTACCTAGGAGAAGGGCCCGGTCCTGCAGAGCAGGGGGCACATCGCCAAGGTGAGACACGAGTCTCTCTTCCCCTGAGTCCCTGCCCTCTGCCTCTGTCCCTCCCGCCCTCCCTGCTGCTCTGTCTGCTCCCTTTTAGGACCAGCAACAGCCTCGTGGGTCTTCACATTCCCGTAACTGCTGCTTTAACGTCCAGTTCACTCGGCTGACAGAACGGAGCTGAGCTCACGGCGCACTCCCGACACCCCGCTGACCCCCAGACCACACTCGTCCCGTCAGAGAGCCCGACCCCTGAACGCCTCCTCCTCGTGGGGGCTGAGCTTCAGGAACGCCCACCTGGTCCCTAAGCACTGTCTGCAGGGTATTAATACGCTTTGTAAATACTGTTAAGTTTGTCACGGTCCTCGATTACATAATAAACACACACGAGCTGGGGCGACTCTTTATTCATAAGAGAGCAACGTTCTTTAGAATTACCCGGGCAACAAGTCCACAGGTAGCTCCGTAATGGATCAGCACGTGTCTATTAACAGCCGGAAAACAGCCACGAAGCAACGTCTGTTCCAATCTCTCTTCCCCGGCCACTTGGGGCTTCCCGTCCACGCGTGCAGCGGCCTCCGCAGAGCCCCTCCCGCCGTGCCCGCCTCCCCTTGCTCCTGCCACCCGCCCACAGCCCCTTCCCTTGGCTCCTTCCACTCCTGCCTCAGACTACGGTGCCATAAACAAGCAGTCAACACGTTTTACATAGCGTCTTGAAACAGAAAGCATATCCTTTTTTGCCTTCTTAATCAAGAGTCTACATTTCTGAGAAAGTTATTATTCTTCCACACACCAGACAGAATTTGTATTTCAGAGCCTTCGATTTAGGGCACTCAGTCGTTACTCGTTCCAACGCAACTGATTTGCGGCTCCACGTTAAGGAAAACGGTTCGTGGTGCGAGGCAGTGAGTGTGAAGTTCCCTAACGTCGGCGTCCTCACACGGAGGAGAGAAGGCCAGAGAGCACAGCGTCCGGTCCGCAGGACGGTCTGCTCCATACCAGTGCTCAGAAGACATGTCTCCAGGTTCATTTTTACCCTGCGGTCAGGGGAAGGCTTGCGTGTCCTTCACGGCCTCCTTTCCGTGGTCTTCCCCGGTGAGCGGGCGCTGGGCAGGGAAGAGGAGGAAGGCCCCCTGCTCTCACACTGCGGGCCCACGGGGAAGCCCAGCGCCACGACCTTCAGCTGCCACTCTGAAGAGCCATGTGACGGTGCGGTTTCTGCCGCCCTCTGGGCACTAAGCCCACGCTGGCCCTGGTGAGACACTGACACCAGAGTTGGGAGACACTGGTAACAACAGAACAGCCCTAAATGTGACAAGTCACAGCACACACCAAACACGTCTGCCACAAACCAACAGGGATGTCAATACCGAGTGCTCGTGAAACGGGCACGTGAAATTTAACAATAGTCAGAGGCAAGTTCTAAGTGCAGCAGCGGAGATACTTCGATGTATATTTCAGTACTCGAACCCAGTGACAGTTTTTCTTAAAAACAGCCCATTCAGCCCACTGTCAAGGCCCCACAGGGAGGCATCACCGCCAGCCTCTTCCTCTGTGGTGCACACCAGTGAAGAGTGAGCGACACTGGACAAGGTGACAACGGTCCGGTTCAGCCTCTCCATCATCCCCTTGCCCGGCCCCGGGCTCCAGCCTCGGCGCTGCAGGAGGACGTGGTAGCCTCTGTCCGGTGGCAGAGACACGCTCCCTCACCTCTCCTGTGAGCCGAGGTTCGGGGGTCCCTGGGACCCAAGGGACTCAACGGCCTGCTCTCGCCCCAAACCCTCCTGACCTCCGTGCTGCCCAGCACCTACCTCACTGCGACTCGGACTGTCTGTGTGAAGAGAACACACCATTAAATGGTCTCCAACATTATAGTTTCCCTAACTCAACACAAATTGCGAATGAACTAGTTGAAAAAAACTAAGGATTATGCCTATTCCCACCCAAAAAGCTGGACAGTTTGACTACTTAGAAGACCACGCCCCTCTGCCTCCTCGCACACATGCTCTTTGGAGCCGGCCTCCCAGGGGCGCCCTGGCTCCCCTGCCCCTGCCGCGCCCGCCCACGGCTCCCCCACAACCCCGTGGTGACCTCCCTCCCCTGAAACCGCACCCCTCCTGGACTTCCTCAGCCACGGGGCACATGGAGCCCCACTGCGCCCCCAGGGGCCAGCACCAGGCACACACCTCCACACAGAGTGGGGCCACAGCCCGCCCGCCGCCTGAGAGCCTGCTGACGCCGGGACCCGCTGCCAGGGCCCTGGCAGGCACCTTGTCCCGCAAGCCCAACTGAAATACACTCTGAGGACACTGGGTTTGCCTTTGACAGCAGCACACCCAAACACACCCGTTTTAAAGCGCGAGAAGGGGCCTGCGCCCGTTTACCCGCTGTCAGCTGGGTCAGGCCAAAGGTCCCAGTGGACCAAAGAGAACACACGCCCGCGAGACACATCCAACCAGACAGACACATCCCCGGCAGGCCTGGAAACGCACTGGGTGCTTCCTGCCCAGCACTGCGCCCCCAGGATGACACGCCCAAGGGGGGGGCAGCACAGCAGCAGGCAGACGACCCCACACCCCACCGGCTACCTGGCTGACCTTTGTCACGTGGGTGCGTGTGCCGGGAGGAGCCTCGTTTACCACAGATGACGAAGCAGAGTGGAGGGCTGGGAAAGAAGCGGTTAATATGTTCATTTACATACACACATACACATATGTGCCATTTAAAAAGAGATATATACTCTGAAGGAAAAACAGAATACCGCTCAGAGAAATTTAAAAGACCTAAATAAAGTGAGAAATATCTCATTCATGGGTCAGGCGACTTAACATTATTAGGATGTCAATCACCCCCCAGATAAATCTATGGATTCAGTGGGAGCCAATCAAAACCCCGGCGGCCTCCTCCATGGAGACGGCTCGTGGTCGCACAGGAACACCAAGGACCAGACCGGCCAAAAGCGGAGAACGGGGTTGGAGGACAGACGGCACCTGGTTTCAGGAACCAGTAAAAAGCAACAGTAATCAAAAGAGCATGGAACTAGCACAAAGACAGAGCAGCAGATCCATGGAGTGGAAGAGGTTCCAGAGTTAGACCCACACTTGAAGGAGCAGTCGTTTCTGACGCAAGTGTGCAGCAGTGCAGGGGAAAGGTTACTAGTTCCAAAAATGGTGCTAGAAACAACTGGATGTGCGCGTGCGAGGAAAGTGCTCACGCCCGCACTTTCTCCCAGGACATTTACTCAAGACGATACATATGTGTATTACGTGTGTGTGTGTACACATATAACATGGATCTTGAAACGGAAAGTAAAGCCGCAGAGAAAACACAGGAGAAATGTAGTAGAACAGGTTGGGACCCGGGTTGGCAAAGCACTCTTACAAAGGACGCCTCGAGCAGAGGCCGCAGAGGCAGGAAGAGTCCCCGCCCCCAGGTCACAGGCCCCCAAGACTAAGGAAAAAGGCCCACCTGCAGAGGGGGCGGGGGTGTGGGGGCGGCCCGACCCCCAGGGGCTGGGGGAGTGAGGAAGGATTCTGCGGAACCGCAGTGCACAGGACGGCAGTCGGAGGCTCTCCAAGTCCAGTGCCCGGCACCCAGACCACGGCCCGGGAGGCAGGCCTGCGGCTCTCAGGCTTCCCGCTGCCAATGACACCAGGGATGTCACTCAGGGCTCAGGGGCCTCTTCCCCAGGACGTGTGGGGGTCACGGTGGGAACGAGACGGGCAAAGCCCTACGCCTCACAAAACTCACGGTCCCGCCACATGCGCAGAGCAGAGCGAAACAAATACATCACCAAACGAGGAGCACACACCACAGCCCACGAACGGAAAAAGTACTGTTGCTCAGGGGAAGGGTCACAAAGCGTCTGGCCGAAAGTAGCCAACTTTTACTCTTAAACGGTCAGCAGCAGGAACCACAGGAGTTTTTTAAAAAGTACCTATAGCAATTCACTGCTTTCACCAGATAAATATGTTGTAGACAATCTGAAAACTTTACTAAGTACACCTCAATGTTAAATATTTTCTCTACTGACAGACGAGAACAGCAAGTATGTGTCACCATAGATCGAAGACAGCCCTCCGTGTCCTGGTGACCTCAGTCTCCTGCAGACTGCTCAGCCCCCTGCCCAGGGTGGGCCTACATTCCCAGGCTCCACCGCCCTGGGCCACCGGGTCAGAGCCGTGGGGCCTGCCCAGCCCGCAGCAGCACCGTGCCCTGCGGGAGCCTGCGTGGTTTCTCAGCACCACGGGGGCGGGCGCGTGTGCTGCACTGAGCCGGAGACCAAAGCCTCCCAGTCTCCTCTCAAGAGCAAGAACCAGCAGGGCGAGCTTCCTTGTCCAGGGTCCCCATGTGCCAGGGCTGGTCCCTTTCCCGTGTAAAATAGGCTTTAAGTGTAAAACTGCAACACTATAAGGAAATTAAAATACTTATATTATGCTAGGGTTGAAAGGACATTCTAAGATTAAAGTAAAAACCACAAAAAGATCACAAGATTTGCATTCATAAAAATTA